AAAAATTGAAAAAACAATTATCGTGTTGCCATGACTAACACGACGTGAGCAACGCGAGCCTGCGTGTGTTGGCGTAACTACGAATACTTCATGTTGAATCAATGTTTGGAGAATATAGGCGCAGAGAAGAGATACAAAGAGAGAAAACTGCCGGCAAATTATGTCACGCCAACATGTTAACTATTTAAAATTGTATTAATTCACTATTTTATTAAATTTTGATAATGCAGAAGACTAAAACTATACATATTATAGAAGTTTTATGCAAGAGTTATATTTTGAGGAATTTATATCATTCGCTGCTTTGTTATTTATACACGAGCATCTGAAATTCCTAGCCAGTTCATTTCACGATTTTAATAAGGAGTAGATAGGGAAAATCAAAGGTCTCAGTGAGACGACTCACGGATCATATCGTGTAATACGAAGAACGGACTTGACCGCCTCTTTAAAATAGTCAATATTAAAACCCGGCAGAAATAACTATATAACCAAACACAGTACGAAAATGCGGTGCCCAACAAATAAAACTTCCGGCGTTTCCGCCCAAGTACCTACAAGTAAAGTTATATTATATAACTTATATTATTTAGTACGCTACATTCTCCTGTCGGCCGCCAGTTGGTCCGTATGCGGGGATTAAAACGGTTTTAAAACCTTCAAAATAAAATATTTTGGCTCAAAGTACTATAAAATAAATAGAAAAGTGAGACGAATCCACTGGTATACGGCCGAAAACAAAGAAACCTAAGATACCAAAGTTAGCAAGGATCAAACGTAGCCTACTGCATTTTTAATTAGTTTAATAATTTTGAGCGACTTGTCAACAACACAATTTCGCTTATTAAAACTGCGCTCTAAAACCTTCAAAATAAAATATTTTTGACTCAAAATACTATCAAAATGAAGAGAAAAGTGAGACGAATCCATAAAAGTGATCGCTTACCGTTATTCTAGAATAATTTATTGAAGAAAATTTGCATGGGTATCTCATATTTTTAAAAAAGCGATTTTCACCTTTCGAACGGCGTTTTCCCTATGCTTTTGCTAAGAAATTTCAGCGACGGCACTGGCTGGGAAATTTTGCGTGGCGCGTGGAAATAATGTGTGCGCGTGACACAAAAATTGAGGTTATCGAGTGTGAGTTTCCTCTCTGTATATCTCTCCTCTGTGATATAGGCGAGGGGTTGTTGCATGCATGCATTTGTAGTCAAGGACTAAATTTTGTTGCAATAAAACAAAGATATGCTATAAAAAAATACAAAACCAATGAGTAGACATACTGTTTGGAGTTAGAAAGCCAAAATCGTAACGCCACTGTGTATGAACTAGTTTGAGACCAGGAAATTCATGATTTTCATTCTCAAAGTGTGGAAGTGCATCATCGTTAACATCATTTGAATTAATGCCCTCTTCAAAAGAAACTTTCCAAGAATCATCCTTGTTCTTGTTGTTTATTAGTCGTTTTTTGATATCTGCTGGACTGATGGTTTTTTGAGCTTCCTCTATATTAATTGAGCAATTTCATTAAAAAAAGGATTATAAAAATTCAGGGAAGAAAATAATGTTGATGAAGTCATAACTGCAATCTAGTGATTTCGAGCTCAAACTTCAGCAAAAATTACAAATACAAGAAAATGAATATTTCAATTGACGCAGCTTCCTGACAGTCCGTCTAATGTTGTATTTGTACACATAGACAAAATAAGCCACGCGCGTATAAATTTAGACGAGCTGGGTCGTTGTGCGAAGGCGCCGGATAGCGCTATATCCACCGGAAAGCATGCAATTGTTGAAACCTATCTAAAATTGACCGTTGAATAGTAGAACCAATATTATAAATTTTCGTAATTATAAATTGAAGAATTTTATATATTTATTTTGAGATCCATATCTGTAGTTACACAGCTTTTACACACTTCTATGCAAGTTGAAGAAATCGCTTTCTGTTGGATAGCGCTATCAAAGCGTCGCCAGGGCACTGTCAAAGAACGGATGTGTATTGCAAGTCCACCGCGCATACTTGATTCACGCGTGCTTGTTTTGGCCTTCTCGTTAATTCTTGTTGATAAAGACACACTGAAAAGCAAAAACATATTTCAAGTTTGGGGTTCTGTATTATTAATAAAGATAACAGCTTTTCTCAGGATTCTTAACGATGGCAAAAGGAAATAGTTTAAATATAAGCAGGAGTTTTAACTGTCGACATTGACTTTTCGGCCATATGACTAACGAAGAATTTTTTGCAAAACAATTGCTTCGGGCCCCGTTTGTATGCTTCTGATATGATGAAGACGAGGTTTTTAAACAATTCCTCGATCTGCTATCGTAAATCACTATACTCCGTTGTTGGCAATCATGCAAGTATGTTCGATTAAATGTATTTTTTGAAGTTTTTGGGATCTGACTTTCTGCCGAATTCGATAGTAAAACAACATGAGAACAGCAAGTCCTTTGTTAGAAAAGTTTTCTTGTAGTATATTCTTTTTCGCAAAATTAATCCTTCCTTTGCAGCAATATTTTTGTATCGCAGTGAAGGAGATTTCGCAAATGTCGCGCGCATCTGACTTTAGTGAACTTTTTCCAACTGTACAGTTTTTTTTTATACACACCCTGTATATTTGCAAGAAATGTTTGTTATTTCGCTGTCGTCATGCAGTCGTTATAATGCAAATTTCAAATTTGACCAATCAGTGTTCGCTATTTACAACAGTCCGCTACATATTTTGAAATCAGTGAGGATGACCACCCATGACCAGTAAACCATAGCCATGCGCCCGCAATATGGCATAAACTTTAGACTTCGCTAGTGTGTTCCTTTCCCCGGATGTAAATAGCCGGGCGGAATTAGTACCCTCGCTTCGGGCTTAAGGGAAATGGCAATATATTTTTTATTTTTTTATTATACAATACTGTTATACGACCCCTTTTCTTGGTTATATTCAGACTAATACAGCAGGATCGTCGGGGCCGTAGGGGTAATAGCTCAAAAACAAGAATATCAATATCACTGACACCAACACGGTTTCTTTTATCACATATATATATTTTGAATATTGTGTGCGTCTGTGCGTTGCTTTTGATAGATACAAACGCTCTGACTACAGTCAGCTCTACTCTGACACTAAGACTCTAATACACTCACTGTTTCCTGACAGTGTCATACACATTGTTTCCTGTTAATTAAATTATGCTATTGTGCATTGTTCATCAATGGTTCATTGTATGCTTCATGTGATCATCACGTGCAATACTCGTGCATATAATTCTAGTGTATTATTTCCGAGTATAACATATCTCTCTCCTTTAAGTGAAAACCTCCCGGTTTTCAAAGTTATTACAATTAAATAAGTTCAATATGATCTTGATTTCAAGGTTAGCAGTCTTTCAGTAATTGTACATTTCTTTGCATGTGCAACCATCGTTGTATTCCACTGTTGAGAACTTTAACTGAAACTGTATCCGTATATTGATTACAGATAAATACTCACCTAATTGCAAAGGCATGTGAAATTTGACTTGAACCAAATATTAAGGAAAAAGAACATAATTGTGTCATGGAAGGGACAATAACAAAATAACAAAACATAACAAAACAATAACAAAACAATAACAAAGCCTATTTTACATTCTTTTTCTCATCATTCACTTTCAACTTCCCACATAGTGCGACATCTAATTATACTTCACACACAATTATAACGTGTCCGAACGAGGGGTACATGCGAGGCTAAATAGTTCACAGCCGAAGTCTGGACAACACAAGCATGAGATCCTGAACATCCGGATCACAAAACAAGTCGTCCCAGAGGTTAAAAGCCTTGAGATGGTATCGTACGTTAGTTGTTGTTTTGTTCAAGGTGAATAATGTCAGTCTCGTCTACCCATGAATTATGCTCAGGGTCATACCCTTCCCACTTAACTAGCCTAGGTATCGGACAAGGTGGTGGTGTATCCGTAGGTGGTGGATTTTCACTTGGTGGCAATAATTCAAAAGACTGGTTGTCAAAATCGATAACACCTTGATAATGACCTAGGAAGTCAGACCCAAGAATTGCATCATAAGTTAAATTTTCTATGATGTATGCATAAAATGTATAGTTATACTCACCAATTTGAAAGGGAACTAATGCCACACCATTGATGGGCATGTTTTCACCACTGACAGTTCTAATAGTTTGTTGAAATGTTTTACTGCTAGGCATTTTCTTGCAATTAGGGAATT